TACTGCTGTCCCTCACCCCTGCTGCCCATCCTTCAGTGTTACTTGCTTTGTTTCACATTATGGTCTAAAATTACTAATTTACTGTTTTACTAGTTTATTATCTGTCCTTCCATTACTCTTCATAAGGAGTGCAAGGACACTAACAATCTTTTCACTGGTCCATCCTAAGCATCTAGAACAGTATCTGGTGCATAGGGGTTCTGATTTCTAAATATCCTGGTTTACATGACATAAGAAAGTAGTTCTTATTCATTCATTCATCCATTTTCTTTTTTCTTTTAAATATATTTTTATTGATTTTTACAGAGAGGAATTGAGAGGGATAGAGAGTTAGAAACATTGATGAGAGAGAAACATCAGCTGCCTCCTGCACACCTCCCACTGGGGATGTGCCCACAACCAAGGTATGTGCCCTTGACCGGAATCGAACCTGGAACCTTTCAGTCTGCAGACCGACGCTCTATTCATTGAGCCAAATTGATTTTGGCATCCATCCATCCATTTTCTTATTTATATATTCATTCAATAGTGTTTATCAAGTACCTATGGTATACGCACCACTTGTTGAGAGCTATCATAGAATAGTTAACAGTACAGACACAATCCCTGCCTCCACAGAGCTAACAATCAAATGGCAGGAGACAAGTCACACACATAAATCTACAAGTAAATTGATACTAAGCTGAACCTCATGAAATTGCCAATATTCAATCAACGTTGACCTCAAACATGGCAATATTTCAACATAATTGTTCTGTTGTAGTTTCTCCCACAAGGTACCTGTATTAATTAGCCAGGGTTCCCCAAAGAAACACAACCTACAGTACTTATACATAAAGATATTTCTTACATGGAATTGCCATTGACAAATCCAAAATCTGAAGAGCCAAGGTCCCCAACAGGTTGAGTCTGAAGGCCAGCAGGCTGCTGTTGTCCCAGAAGGAGCCTTCGTCTCAAACTGGAGCTCGTGAGATGGGAACATTCTCTCTTACTCCGTAGAGCCCAGCCTTTTGTTCTATTCATGCCTTCAATTGATTGGGTAAGACCGATGTACATTATGGAGGACAATCTGCTTGACTCACTCTACCAATTTAAATATTAATCCCATGCAAAAGCACACTCTCAGACACATCTAGAATAAAGTTTGACCAAATATTTGAGCACCCCAGGGTCCAGTTATGTTGACCATACGATTTACCATTCCAGTACCTTTAGGATCTTGCTACTTAGAGTGTGGCCTGTGGACCAGCAGCATTTCCATCACCTGGGAGCCTGAGCAGAATCTCAGATCCTGCTTTGATTTATTGAAACATAATCTGCATTTGAACAAGATCCCTAGGTAATACTGATATACATTAAAGTTTGAAAAGCACCCACACTCTGTGCCACAAATAAATGCCAAATGTTTGAGAATTCGGCTTGCAGCACATGGTTGGTTCTTGCCATTGTGTAATTCATTAACATTTTTGACACATCCCTATTTATAACATGTTTTGTAGCATGCATCCCAAAATATGCCACATTTGTTTTACCTATACGCATACCAGTGAATAATTATTAGGTGTATTATAAAGTATATGAAGGACAGAGATTTTAAACTAAGCTGAAGGTGAAATAAATTTTAAATTTGTCACTAATCATGATGACTTCCTGCAGTCATTAGCTACAATCTCAGAGCATGATACACATGGAGGATGAAGTTCATCATTAATAAATAAATCCACATTTTGATTGTTCCTCATGAGAGTTTTAATTATTTTGGGCTGACTTCATGTTGATCTGAATAAATCATGATTATTTTAACCCTGTGAGAAGCTGTTGACAAGCGGGGGAGAGTCAACTCTATTGTTTTCTTGTACTTTGCTTTCTCAATATTTTTTTTCAGGCTTGTTTTGTTAAGAGGGATGTTTTAAAGTGACATGTCTCCTTACTGATGGTTAGCTTAGTTAAAACTCTATAATTTGGCCCAGCTGGTGTGGCTCCATGGTTGAGCATCAATGTCAATCTGTGAACCAGAAGGTCACTGTTTGACTTTTAATCAGAGCATATGCCTGGGTTTCGGGCTTGATACCCACTAGGGGGCATTCAGGAGGCAGCTGATCAGTGATTCTCTCTTATTATTGATGTGTCTATCCCTCTTTATCTCTCCCTTCCTCTTTTTGAAGTCAATAAAAAAACACATTAAAATAATAAATAATTTATCTGCCTATCCCCTTTAGAGGTGCACAACTGCAATACAGGCTTTTGCCTCATTTGGTCCAAGATTCCCGATTCTCACCACCTGATGGGGGCATTCCAATGGAAGACACCAGCATCAACACATATATCAAATAGATTTCTCATTTTAAAGACCATATATAGAGATTCTCATATTTCCTCCTCCCCATGGCAAATCATCTTCTGCAGTCCCTGGACCCTGGAGCGAGGGAACCCCACCTTGAAGACTCCTTGTCCAGGACAGGGAGACCTCTAAGAATCATGGTCTCTGCTGCATGCTCTGAGAAGGGCTGCCTGGGGGAGAAGTGCCCTTGGCTTTGGGGCTAGATTTTCATGGGTTTTGGCATTCAGGAGAAGCCCAGGGGATCTAGAGATGGCCAAGTTCATGGTATCTGTCCTGATTATTATTTTGCTATCCTTTGGAAAGCCTGAGTATCTTGGAATTTTTTTTAATTTTTATTTTTGGAGGGGAGGAAGACATTTTAGAGGATCTGGTGTAAGCGATGGCTTCTTGTTCCAGAACAATGCACACATAAAATTTCCATTCAATTCCAGAAGGGTACAGAATTCCCCTGAAGCTCATGATGAACCTGTTTAAAAGTGAAAAGGGCAAATTAGGTTTGGGAGACATCTGCTCTTGGTCTCAAAGGTTCCTACGCAGCAGCAGCCCCGTTCCAGTTCAGATCCTGGCTACTGCACAGAGGCGAGAAAGGGCCTGGCCTCTGATCTCAAGACACTCAGATTTGCATCCGAGCCCTCTGATGATTAGTTGGGTTAACTTGGGCAGCTTTTTATTCTCTAAAGTGGGTTTAACAATCCTCACCTCGTCATACTGTCCTCCTCATTTGCCACCACCTTTCCTGTTTGTTGACCTTGTCTGTCCCTTAGAAAACTGAACTCTTTCCTGCCTCAGGGCCTTTGTATTTGCTGCTACCTCTGCCTGGAATTTTTTTTTTTTTAATTTGAATCTTTTTGTGACCAACTCCTTTGCATCATTCAGAGCTCAACTGAAATGTTACCTCCTCAGAAAGTCTTTTCCTGATCTCCCCATCTCTCTCTCTCTCTCTCTTTCAGTTTATTTAGAATTTTTAAAGAAGTGTGCAATTCAGTGGTTTTTGGTATATTCACAAAGTTGAGGACGCATCACCACCATCTAATTCTAGAACATTTTCATCACCCTAAAAAGAAACCCCTCAGTCATTGGCAGTCACTTGCCATGTCCCATAAAAAATCCACCATCTTAACCATTTTAATTTGTACAATTCAGTGCGTTTTCTCATCTAATCATCATAACTCTCACATTCCTGAACATTTTATTACTCCAAACAGAAACTCCATATAGAACAGTCACTCCCCAGTTCTCTCTCCCTCATCTCCTGGCAATCTCTCTGTCTCTATAGATTTGTTCTATTTCATATAAACCAAATTATACAGTATGTGGCTTTTTGTGTCTGGCTTCTCTCACTGAGCATAATGTTTCCAAGTTTAATTCATGTTGTTGCAGATATCAGTACTCCATTTTTCATGGCTGAATAATATTCCAGTCCATACAACCCATTTTGCTTATTCATTCATCTCTTGATTTAGGTTGTTTCTGCTTTGAGGCCATTGTGAATAATTCTACCAAGCACCAGTTTCTCTTGATCACGTTACACTTTTTTACTTATTTAATTCTTGTAGCCCATGTATATTTATTTAACACACATGTTTGTATTTTCTCCCCTAGAAAATAAGCACCAGGAGGCAGCGGTCTTGTCTGCCTTGTACACTGCTGTTTCCCCAGGGCCTTGATTAGTGCCTCGCACAGAGTGGGCAATAAATAAGTGTTGAGTGAACGACTGACTGAATGAATAGGAGCTATTGTTATTGTCTTGTCTCCTAGCAGACTCAATCTTTTCCTCTAATTCACGTGGGTGTCTTGCTGTGTTGGCCTGTGTCTCTCTCACATCTGACATTTTTCACCAGCTGTGGTTCCAGGCGCTGCGAGCTGGGGGAATGGTTGCTCACAGGGCAATGGGACAATGGTAAGTGGAAGGCACTTGAAACATTGCTGGGGCCCCAGGTTCTATGTTTTCTCTCCATCCCCAACTACTGATGAAGAGGGGCCCTAGCATGGGGTGTGCACGGATTACACTACATCCTTCACAGCTGCAGGAAAGCCCATGCACACAGTGTTCAGGGCTGTGGATACAGATTCTCTCATTCAAATCCCTGTGCTACAACTTATTGGCTGTGTGATCTTGAGCTGGTTAATTCACCTCTCTGAGCCTTGGTTTACTTATCTACAAAGAAGGAGTAATGATCCTCATAAGGTGTTTATAAGCTGCTTAATTGAATTAAGACCTGTAACGTGATTAGCATGGTAAGTACTCCATAAATAGTAAGTACTCAATAAATGTTATTTGTTACTAATAGGGGCCATTGCTGTACATGAAGTGTTGGCATCTATTTAGATATAAGGGGAGACTCAATCTATGGGGTGCAGATATATTACATATAGTCATCATTTAGTCCTCTCAACAACACTGTGAAGTAGCTGATACTGCCATTACACAGGTATTGTGGGAAACTAGTGAGCTGTTCTGCATGAAGTCCTATGTGCCCTCTAATTGCACTGCTCTTATTTACTTACTTGTGTCTTCCCCCCGCCTCATCTCTAACTAGAATGGCGGTTCCATGCAGTGAAGGATCTTGACTTCTGTTTGCGAGTACAGCGCTCAGAGCACAGCAGAGGCCAATTGTTGTATTTTGAATGAACAGACTTTAATTCTTTCCTCTTTCAGGGCTCTTGCAGACGTCATGAGGCCGCAGGGCCACTGCAACACCGACCACATGGAGAGAGACCTCAACATCGTGGTCCACGTGCAGCATTATGAGAACATGGATACCAGAACCCCCATAAATAATCTTCGTAAGTAGCGCGGTGTGATCCATTTCCAGTCCCGCTTGGGCACCAAGGCGCTGGTCATACTTCCAGACTTCTTGGTGTGTGTTTGGGTCCATTAAGAGCTCCTTTTCACTGATAGGATAGAAGTTTTATTTCATCTCTCCTGAATGAAACTGTGTGCGGCATCCTCAGAGTTTACTTAGTTTCTTTCTCTGTGACAGAGTGATTCACTCGGTTGAGTTCTCAGGCTTGGTTCTTCTGTTAATTAACAGACCACTTGGTGGGCTCATCTTGGCTGGGTGCTTAGCTAACCAGTGGATTACTTAGGTTGGTTCATTGTAGGTAGTTAATCTGTTAGCCAATGACCCATTTTGTTGGCTTTTCTTCTGTTAAAATCCCTGGGTAATTTGCTAAGCGATGGTCCGTTTGCTTATTTGTCTGCCTCCTAAGGTAGACCAGTTGTGACTTTTAGGTTTTATATTGTTTTCAATGAACAGATACTAGTTCAGAAGAATTAGATCTATTTTTTTTTTTCACAAAACGAGAGTTTCATAAAAATAATCCACAAACTACTTTGTTGTGGGTGTGTTTGCGTGTGTGCGTGCTCTTGCACCTTTGTGTGTTGGGGGTTATAGTTATGTTGTTTTGGGGTGTGTACGTGTGATTCAACAGTAGCAAATTTCATTCTGTTGTTCTTTCAAGAAAAGTTGCATTTAGTATTGTGTTTTATTCTCTAGCGGATGGAGCCTACTTGGGGATCATGGTATGCCCCTAAAGATTTTCTTTCTTCCCAAAGGTCTGTATATACAACATATATTATGGATTTGATACACTGACTAATGGGAGTAGGGAAAAATAGGATTAATTTTTTGACACTAGTGTACTATCATATAGTGGTTATTCCTAGTAATTATGCTTTCAAGACCCCCCCCCCTCCCAACACACACACACACACACACACACACACACACACACACACACGTGATGCAGAGGGTTTGGTTTCAAATAAAAGCCAGACAATTTAAAGGATGCATTTAGTTTTGGCTGGAGGTTCTTAAAAACAGAAATGGTTCTGTCATTGAAAATCTTATAATCTGGGCTACCTTCATGAAGCTCTGCTAGGAGCTGCATTGGTGTTTTATTTGTTGAATCATAATTTAGGACTGTAGGTTACAAATTTTTATTGATGTGTAGAGGAATACGTCTGTATTTGACATAGGTGAGGTGAATTCTCTGGTTCTGCATGGTGATAATTTTTCACGGTCTTGGAAATGTTACAGTACATTCACAAAGTCAATGTTTACACGGTTTGAAAATGGGTACCAAGTAGAATGTCTTAGGCTTCATTGTTTTAAATAATTCAACGTTATTTATTCATGAACCAGGTCATAAAATGGTATGAGAAAAGCCACATTTTCGAGCAAAATATACCAGCAGCTGGAAGCTTTATGGTCATATCTCACAGCCATAAAAGATATGTTATATTGCACAAACTCTGACATGGCAATTGCTGTGTCCAATTCTGGCTTCGATGGAAATGAGAACATCCTTTTAGATGGCACAGGAAATAAGCTGAACCTACGTGTCTGTGGATCCTGAACTTCATACGTGGGTGAACGTGATCATGGCGTAGACAGAGCTGACATGGTACCTGGCTGTAAAAGGTGACTGTTAGGTTTCTTGTGTGACATTTCAATCTTTAGGATGATTTTTGAATCAACACTCACATGAAATAACGAACTTACTGAAATCATCCACATTTCATCATTCCTTTAAGTGAAGGGCAGGACACATCAATGAATCTTGCTTAATAAGGGACTTTTATTTTAAAGTTGCACTGAAATAAATGATTGCTTAGAAATGGGTGTCCAGGCATGGAGTAATTCAGAAATCTCTTATAACAGGCTAACTTGATTTATTTATAATTCTTGCTTTTAGTCTATATTAATCTCTCAGTAATCAGTGATCTTTTCTACTAAGAAAAAAAATGTGTCTTGTAATATTCTACAGGATAGAACTTAGGGGAGAATTTCAGGTATAATGTCACAAACATTGTATTCTCACAAGAATTACCACCAATGTTAATTCCATATAGTTCTGCTGGGTTGATTTAATCCTTATTTCCTAGAATTCTAGGAATTATTTGGAAAGTATGATGCAGATAGCTTTCCCACAGGTTTACATTAATAAGTTTAATTTATATAATGAATCCTGTAGTTGGTAGTAATGATAGGCTTTCTTATAATGCCTTTATCTTTTTATTGACTTGCTAGAGGCACGCCTAGCCTGCACCCTCTCCAATCTAGGACCCCTCAGACATCCCTCTCACAATTTGGGACTGCTGGCTCCCAACTGCTCACCTGCCTGCCTTCCTGATTGCCCCTAACTACTTCTGCCTGCCAGCCTGATCACCCCCTAAACACTACACTGCCAGCCTGATTGATGCCTAACTGCTTCCCTGCCAACCTGTTTGCCCTTAACTGTCCTCCCCTTCATGCCTGGTCACCGCTAACTGCCTTCCCCTGCAGAGCTGCCCCTCCCTCCCCCCAACTGCTGTCCCCTGCAGGCCTGGGTCTCCCTACCCAACTGCCCTTCCCTGCAGCCCCAGTCACCCCAACTTCCCTGCTCTACTGGCCTGGTCCCCCCTAACTGCCCTCTCCTGCTGGCCTGATTGCCCACAGCTTCCCTCCTCTGCAGCCCTGGTCCCTTCCAACTGCCCTCCCCTGCTGGCCATCTTGTGGTGACCATCTTGTGTCCACATTGGGGCAGGATCTTTGTCCACATAGGGGCAGCCATCTTGTGTGTTGGAGTGATGGTCAATCTGCATATTACTCTTTTATTAGATAGGATAGAGGCCTGGTACATGGGTGGGGGCCAGCTGGTTTGTCCTGAAGCATGTCCTAGATTAGGGTGGAGGTTCCCTTGGGACGTGGGGCAGCCTGGGCCTGGGGCCCTGGTATTGGGATTTATTTATCTTCTACAATTGAAACTTTGTAGCCTGGAGCAGAGCCAAGTCTCCTGCTTGCTCCATGGTGGCAGCCATTTCTGTTGGGATTTATTTATCTTCTTTAATTGAAACTTTGTAACCTTAAGCAGAGGCTAAGACAGGCCAGGGAAGACAGAAAGCTTGGTTTCCTCCATAGTTGGGGACAACCCTAGCCTTCTGCTCTCTCCAGCTCCATGGCTACCACCATTTATGTTGGGATTTATTTATCTTCTATAATTGAAACTTTGTAGCCTTGAGTGGAGACCTGGGCCCGCCAGGGTGTGTGAAAAGCTTGGCTTCCTCCATAGCCAGGGAAACTCAAACCTTTTTCCTGCTCCCTCTTTGGCCATAGCCATCTTGGTTGGGGTTAATTTGCATACTTGCTCCTGATTGGCTGGTGGGCATGGCTTATGGGTATAACAGAGTGATGGTTAATTTGCATACCACTCTTTTATTAGATAGGATAGAAGCTATTTACATATTATAGACAAAGGAAAAAATTTGCATGTTCAGAAAAATGACTTTTTAGTTCATTAAGAGGATAGGAATAGATGAGTTATATTTATCCATTATTAGGGCTTTAAGAAGCTAACCACTTACCCAACCTCATTTTGAATGATAGAAAACTAGAATATAACAAATTTATTCTGATAACTGCAGAGTTAGACCAGCTTTTGGTGCCGGAATTAGAATGAATTTATTGATTATAAAAGGATTTTTTTTTTTGGACATTATAGAAGCTACAGAGATTTACTATTACAAAAAATGGCAAAAAAGATGTTTGCTTGTGATATACCAAGAAGGGAACACATCACACTACTTTCAAGGTGTTCTTCACTAAGGATCCAAGTTACCAGATTTGATTGGGAACTCAATAGTCCCAACTTAAATATTTTCATTTCTATTCAATCACTCAACATTGCTTTAAGAGAATATGTAATCATCTCCATCTATTTCTCCTCATCTTCTTATGTTAATGCCAGGTCACTTTCTGGTCTTTCCTTTAAGTTTGGGCCAAATGCTAAGGGAATCAGTGTAGATGTCAGATATTTAGAAGGTGTGGGGAGTGGAGGACTAGTGTGAAGTCAACTAGGGGAGAGAAAGCTTCAATTTGGGGACATTTTTTTTTTTTTGCCAGCTTTTCTTTATAAATTTCCTGTAGTTTATTTTTCTTGTGATAGAACTTGCCTCTTTATCTGAAGATGGAGTTTTCTTCAGCCAGTGGTGTTCATGTTCTTTCCAGGCATTCAGTGACATTGTCTAAAAATATTTAGTCTGATAATCAAAAGGGCTTTGACCTCTTTGATGAACAGGATGTAGATTCAGATGAGATAGTGATTTTCTGCAAAATGCTCCTTGGCTTCTGTGTAATTATAGTTTGCTTTTGAAGGCATGTGCTATGAATGGACTCTGTCTCCCCCACCCCAGCCTCCCTTCCGGCCAATGACATCACCCTCCCCCTTTGAGAGAGCAGAGTAAATACAGGTTCCCTCAATGTCAAGGATGGGAGATGTGAGTGAGGGACTATGGACACAAGGAAAAATTTTGCATGTTCAGAAGAAATTATTTTTTATTTCTGGATCAATGTTTCTTAACTCCTTTGTGTGAATAGCACACTTTAAACTTTATTGATTGATTTGAGAGAGAGAAATTTGTTGTTCCACTTACTTATGCATTCATTGGTAGATTCTTGTATGTGCCTTGACCGAGATTGAACCTGCAACCTTGGTGTATCGGGATGATGTTCTAACCAACTGAGCTACCTGGCCAGGGCAGCACACTTATTTTTTCTGAAATAAAATTTTAATTTTGAAATAATTTTATATTTACAGAAAATATGTAAAGAGAGTACACAGAGCTCTGCATATTCCATATCTTACATTACTAGGTACACCTGTGAAAACTAAGAAATCAATATGAGCACACTATTTTTAGCTGGAATGGAGATATTTGAATTCCACTAGCTTCTTCACTAATGCCTTTTTGCTGTTCCAGGATTCAATCCAGGATACTACATTATATTTAGTACAGTAAACTT